TGTTTATTTTGTTTTACGGCATATCAACCTCAATGGGTTATTTAATGCCGACAAGATTTTTAGGATAGGTTCGTATGAATAGAATATGTATTCTTTGGTTTAGTTTGGTTTTGTTTATTTTGTTTTACGGCATATCAACCTCAATGGGTTATTTAATGCCGACAAGATTTTTAGGATAGGTTCGTATGAATAGAATATGTATTCTTTGGTTTAGTTTGGTTTTGTTTATTTTGTTTTACGGCATATCAACCTCAATGGGTTATTTAATGCCGACAAGATTTTTAGGATAGGTTCGTATGAATAGAATATGTATTCTTTGGTTTAGTTTGGTTTTGTTTATTTTGTTTTACGGCATATCAACCTCAATGGGTTATTTAATGCCGACAAGATTTTTAGGATAGGTTCGTATGAATAGAATATGTATTCTTTGGTTTCTTTGGTTTTTTTGTTTGGTTTTGTTTATTTTGAATTTTATTCGGCATTTTGTTTTATCAATCAACCTCAATGGGTTATTTAATGCCGACAAGATTTTTAGGATAGGTTCGTATGAATAGAATATGTATTCTTTGGTTTAGTTTGGTTTTGTTTATTTTGTTTTACGGCATATCAACCTCAATGGGTTATTTAATGCCGACAAGATTTTTAGGATAGGTTCGTATGAATAGAATATGTATTCTTTGGTTTAGTTTGGTTTTGTTTATTTTGTTTTACGGCATATCAACCTCAATGGGTTATTTAATGCCGACAAGATTTTTTAGGATAGGTTCGTATGAATAGAATATGTATTCTTTGGTTTAGTTTGGTTTTGTTTATTTTGTTTTACGGCATATCAACCTCAATGGGTTATTTAATGCCGACAAGATTTTTAGGATATTTTTAGAATAGATTCTTTGGTTTAGTTTGGTTTTGTTTATTTTGAGGCATAGAACCTCAATGGGTTATTTAATGCCGACAAGATTTTAGGATAGGTTTAGAATATGTATTTTTGGGTTTGGTTTTGTTTATTTTGTTTTACGGCATATCAACCTCAATGGGTTATTTAATGCCGACAAGATTTTTAGGATAGGTTCGTATGAATAGAATATGTATTCTTTGGTTTAGTTTGGTTTTGTTTATTTTGTTTTACGGCATATCAACCTCAATGGGTTATTTAATGCCGACAAGATTTTTAGGATAGGTTCGTATGAATAGAATATGTATTCTTTGGTTTAGTTTGGTTTTGTTTATTTTGTTTTACGGCATATCAACCTCAATGGGTTATTTAATGCCGACAAGATTTTTAGGATAGGTTCGTATGAATAGAATATCTATTCTTTGGTTTTAGTTTATTTTTCGTTTTTTTTAGGTTTTATAGGCATATCAACCTCAATGGGTTATTTAATGCCGACAAGATTTTTAGGATAGGTTCGTATGAATAGAATATGTATTCTTTGGTTTAGTTTGGTTTTGTTTATTTTGTTTTACGGCATATCAACCTCAATGGGTTATTTAATGCCGACAAGATTTTTAGGATAGGTTCGTATGAATAGAATATGTATTCTTTGGTTTAGTTTGGTTTTGTTTATTTTGTTTTACGGCATATCAACCTCAATGGGTTATTTAATGCCGACAAGATTTTTTAGGATAGGTTCGTATGAATAGAATATGTATTCTTTGGTTTAGTTTGGTTTTGTTTATTTTGTTTTACGGCATATCAACCTCAATGGGTTATTTAATGCCGACAAGATTTTTAGGATAGGTTCGTATGAATAGAATATGTATTCTTTTGGTTTAGTTTGGTTTTGTTTATTTTGTTTTACGGCATATCAACCTCAATGGGTTATTTAATGCCGACAAGATTTTTAGGATAGGTTCGTATGAATAGAATATGTATTCTTTGGTTTAGTTTGGTTTTGTTTATTTTGTTTTACGGCATATCAACCTCAATGGGTTATTTAATGCCGACAAGATTTTTTAGGATAGGTTCGTATGAATAGAATATGTATTCTTTGGTTTAGTTTGGTTTTGTTTATTTTGTTTTTACGGCATATCAACCTCAATGGGTTATTTAATGCCGACAAGATTTTTAGGATAGGTTCGTATGAATAGAATATGTATTCTTTGGTTTAGTTTGGTTTTGTTTATTTTTGTTTTACGGCATATCAACCTCAATGGGTTATTTAATGCCGACAAGATTTTTAGGATAGGTTCGTATGAATAGAATATGTTTAGTTTGGTTTTTCTTATTTTGTTTAGTTTGGTTTTGTTTATTTTGTTTTACGGCATTTCAATTTTGTTTTGGGTTATTTAATGTTATTTAATGCGACAAGATTTTTAGGATAGGTTCGTATGAATAGAATATGTATTCTTTGGTTTAGTTTGGTTTTGTTTATTTTGTTTTACGGCATATCAACCTCAATGGGTTATTTAATGCCGACAAGATTTTTAGGATAGGTTCGTATGAATAGAATATGTATTCTTTGGTTTAGTTTGGTTTTGTTTATTTTGTTTTACGGCATATCAACCTCAATGGGTTATTTAATGCCGACAAGATTTTTTAGGATAGGTTCGTATGAATAGAATATGTATTCTTTGGTTTAGTTTGGTTTTGTTTATTTTGTTTTACGGCATATCAACCTCAATGGGTTATTTAATGCCGACAAGATTTTTAGGATAGGTTCGTATGAATAGAATATGTATTCTTTGGTTTAGTTTGGTTTTGTTTATTTTGTTTTACGGCATATCAACCTCAATGGGTTATTTAATGCCGACAATATTTTTAGGATAGGTTCGTATGAATAGAATATGTATTCTTTGGGTTAGTTTGGTTTTGTTTATTTTGTTTTACGGCATATCAACCTCAATGGGTTATTTAATGCCGACAAGATTTTTAGGATAGGTTCGTATGAATAGAATATGTATTCTTTGGTTTAGTTTGGTTTTGTTTATTTTGTTTTACGGCATATCAACCTCAATGGGTTATTTAATGCCGACAAGATTTTTAGGATAGGTTCGTATGAATAGAATAGAGTTTGGTTTTGTTTATTTTGTTTTGCATATTCAATTTGGTTTAGTTCGTATGAATTTTATTCTTTGGTTTATTTTTTTTTTACGGCATATCAACCTCAATGGGTTATTTAATGCCGACAAGATTTTTAGGATAGGTTCGTATGAATAGAATATGTATTCTTTGGGTTAGTTTGGTTTTGTTTATTTTGTTTTACGGCATATCAACCTCAATGGGTTATTTAATGCCGACAAGATTTTTAGGATAGGTTCGTATGAATAGAATATGTATTCTTTGGTTTAGTTTGGTTTTGTTTATTTTGTTTTACGGCATATCAACCTCAATGGGTTATTTAATGTCGACAAGATTTTTAGGATAGATTCGTATGAACAGAATATCTATTCTTTGGTTTAGTTTGGTTTCGTTTATTATGTTTTGCGGCATATCAACCTCAATGGGTTATTTAATGCCGACAAGATATGTAGGATAGGTTCGTATGAATAGAATATCCATTCTTTGGTTTAGTTTTGTGTCGTTTATTTTGGTTTAAGGCATATCAACCTCAATGGGGTATTTAATGCCGACATAATTTTTAGGATAGGTTCGTATGAATAGAATATGTATTCTTTGATTTAGTTTGGTTTTGTTTATTTTGCTTTTTGGCATATCAACCTCAATGGGTAATTTAATGCCGACAAGATTTTTAGGATAGGTTCGTATGAATAGAATATGTATTCTTTGGTTTAGTTTGGTTTTGTTTATTTTGTTTTACGGCATATCAACCTCAATGGGTTATTTAATGCCGACAAGATTTTTAGGATAGGTTCGTATGAATAGAATATGTATTCTTTGGTTTAGTTTGGTTTTGTTTATTTTGTTTTACGGCATATCAACCACAATGGGTTATTTAATACCGACAAGATTTTTAGGATAGGTTCGTATGAATAGAATATGTATTCTTTGATTTAGTTTGGTTTTGTTTATTTTGTTTTACGGCATATCAACCTCAATGGGTTATTTAATGCCGACAAGATATGTAGGATAGGTTCGTATGAATAGAATATCTATTCTTTGGTTTAGTTTGGTTTCGTTTATTTTGTTTTACGGCATATCAACCTCAATGGGTTATTTAATGCCGACAAGATATGTAGGATAGGTTCGTATGAATAGAATATGTATTCTTTGGTTTAGTTTGGTTTCTTTTATTTTGTTTTACGGCATATCAACCTCAATGGGTTATTTAATGCCGACAAGATTTTTAGGATAGGTTCGTATGAAAAGAATATGCATTCTTTGGTTTAGTTTGTTTTCGTTTATTTTGTTTTACGGCATATCAGCACCTCAATGGGTTATTTAAAACCAACGAGAATTTTAGGACTGGTTCGTATGAATAGAATATGTGTTCTTTGATTTAGTTGTGTTTCGTTTAGTTTGTTTTATGGAATATCAACACCCCAATGAGTTATTTAAAGCCAACGAGATTTTTAGGACGGGTTCGTATGAATAGCATATGCATTTATGCATTCTTTGTAAGAAATCACTTTGTAGATCAGGTTTCATTGACTTATATTTGTAAAGAGTTTTTTTTGTTGTTGTTGTTGTTGTTGTTGTCGAGAATCAAATGTAATGCTGGTATTTTTTTGCAAAAAAGCATTGCTGAAATTTTTGCTATTAAAATCTATTTTTTATATTCTTAATGTTTCGTCCTATTTTGGGGGTTACCGATCCGAACATGTGCTTCAACCCCGGGTCAGGGTGGACCTGGGAACACCAGCAATTAAGAGGTAGTTCCACGCACCCCCGCCCAGAGCCTCCTGATCAGAGGCCTTGCTGTTGTATGCAGTTTATCGTCATACTCTATACGTAATTTATGTTAATCTTGAGATATTAAGCACAATGATAATTATAAAAGCACCAAAATATTACGAACAAAATTAATAACAGCGTCAGCAACAATGGTGATAATGGTGCTGGGTATGATGAAGAACAGCCAGGCTTTTAACAGAAAATTCAAATGGGTAAAACTTAAGCATTAAAAGGAAAACGGCAATACAATTGTATTCAATAATTCTTCTATCTACAAATGGATGAAGAGACTTTCAAGTCTACATATTTTCTTAAGTATTTTCGATTTAATTCGTTTATGTACTTAATTTCTTAATATAATAAAAGCGGTCGCCTATCTAAAAGCAATTCAATGTGATAGCCACTGGCGAATATTCTCCAGAGCCCTTTACGCAGGGTTTAATATGCCCCCTTAAACTAGTCTATTCAATGTGCAGTTATCAAAACTGTAGGAAAAGCGGACTGAAGCCTAACTGTGGCTTTGCCTTCGGCTTTTGCAATTTGGATGAGAGAAGGAAATAAAACAAACTGATTCACTCAACTTCCTCTGTTTCTTTCATTTCATCCATTTTCCAATATCATTTTTATATTAATTTATTTTCATAATGTTGTTTTTTTTTTTTTGACAGAGTTGTTTTTTTTGTATATAATTTTGTTCCTTTTTATTCCATTCATTTCTTTCTTCATCTTTTTTTTTTTTTTCATTTATTCTCACAGTTTTGGCGTGTTTCTCTATCATCTCTCTTTTTCTTTCTTTTCATCATCCTTTCACAAATGATAACCCGAAGGCAACTCCTCCAACGAAAACTACTCTTTTCCGACATCTCTTCCAACAACGTCAGCAATCATGAGAATGTTGATCTTTTGACTATTTTGATATCGTGCACTGATCGCCTACGGCTATACAGTAGGGAAAGGCAAGACAATTAATAGTTTATTTCAAAGGGAAATAGAAATACTTCGCTTGATTACAAAATCAATGAATTTCAGCAACAATTATTAACGAATAAAAGCATTTTATTGTCTTTTAATTGTGTATTTTTATTAAAAAGCATTTCGCAATAATTATTATTATAGGCTATAGTTTCAGAAGATAATTCATTATCTAGCAATTGTTTTATTGGCTTATGAGTATAATAACGAATATATATATATATATATATATATATATATATATATATATATAATATTTTGTTTAAAAATATGATTCCTTCGCTACATAAGAGTTCTCATGTTTCAAAAACGAGAGCCGAAACCATCCAAATAATTATTAAGATTAAGTTGAATTGCGGTGTTTAGTCCCGTTTCACTTTCAAGCGAAATTTTAGGAAACTTTAGGAATTTTTAAACAAAAAATATTATTATTATAATAAAGCTCTACTTCTGTATGGAGCACTGTCTTCTTAAAAATAAAAACAAAAATACTAAGGAACCCGGATTATACACCCAACCTGTTCTTTTCTATTTTCTGCATACCTGTGCACTTATGCATATATATATATATATATATATATATATATATATATATATATATATAGATATAGATATAGATATATAGATATATATATATATAATTAATAATTATTATATATAATTAATTATTAATGTATATAATTAATTAATATATATAATTAGTATCAAACCGAATGAGAGAAGACAAATAAAAATGTTTTCTTTGAAGTAGAGAAAATAAATAAATCTGGTTAGAGATCATTTATAAACTTGTGTAATTGTAAAATTCAAATCAGAATCTGTTACATGGATTTATGCGAAAAAGATATAAATTGAAGATTGATGTGTCGACATTATCAAATCCCTTCTTGTAATTACCTCATATGTTGTAAAAATCTCATATACATCGACAGTCATAGCGATGCTCGTTTGAATATAATTTGATATGATTTTTTTTTAGCATATCACCCCAAGCAAGGCGGGAGTGTCACCAGCACGCACTGGGTTACAGAGTGTGATAGTAAGAGTAAAGTGATGTGTTTGAGGAAAGGATAAAGAGAAGGACGGAGATCAAGACCAAGGCATCAGAAGATGTCGATTATAGTTATCAGGGAAGCAAGTAAGAGGAAGGGAGTTCCACTGTCGGGAAGTGCGAGGAAGAATCTGTTGGAGTAGAAGAGGCGGTTACATTTAACTCGTTTCGACAGTAAAAGGGTGGGACCGAGATGTCAACCTAGTTGCACGCGTAAATTTATGCATTTGGGGCATCAATGAAAATAGCTCGTCAGTTGTCATGAAAATATTTGTAGAAAAGTCTTGGGGAAGTCACATCACGTCTGTGAGAAAGTGACTAGAGTCGAGATGCCGGTTCAGGACCTATCACATTGCATATCCGTCTTTGGATTTTGTCGAGGACCTCGAGATAAACAGCAGGGGCACCAGAAGACCATATATGGCAACAGTATTTAATGCAAGGACGAATGGTTGATTTGTAGATTTGAAGGATGGACTCAGATCTTCTGGCGCGACACAGAAAACCAACTTTCCTTGCAGTAGATGCAGCTATTGATTCAATGTAGTTGTTCCACCTCAGGTCAGTGGGAAACGTGAGACCAAGAAAGCACAGTATTCCTAATGTATTTTTCCTTACAAAAATGCATTGCTTGTAATATTTTTTTTTTTTTACAAATATATTGCAGTTAATATTTTTTTCCTTACAAAAATGTATTGCTGGCAATATTTTTTTCTTACGAAAATGTATTAATTGTAATTTGTTTTTGTTGTTTTTTTACTTACAAAAATATATTGGTGGTAATGTTTTGTTTTTTTTTTACTATGAAAATGTATTGCTGATACATTCACTATAAAAATCTACTTCTGCACATTGATAGTTTTTTGAACCCAGTTTATTTGCCAATAGCTGGGACCCTAACAGATGCTCCCATCCCACCCGGGTTAGGGTGGACCTGAGAACAACAGCAATTAAAAGGTGGTTCCACGATCCTAAAAATCTCCTCATCAGAATCCCTGCTTCCTGATGTAGTTTATCGTCATTCCCAGGACGTCTGTCGAATGTATAAATAAAATAAATAAAAATTAATCACCTTTAGAAATTACTCTCTCTCTCTCTCTCTCTATATATATATATATATATATATATATATATTTATACACGTTTCATTAAATAATATAGACAAGTGTTGTCTATTTATTTTATGTAAAATTTGTTCGTAACATCTGATAAGTTTGATAACATTATCATTAAACGAAGAAAGAAATTCACAATATTGATCCATATTTTTTTTAATATAATCTAAGCTTTCGGCTTTCTTAAGCCATTATCAAAGATGTAAATCACAAATATATTAAACAATATACGGACACGACAGTGATGATAGTCTGTCATTGTTTACATAGTTGATCACTAAGCAACGATAAACACGCGCATATAAGACGCTAGAAGCGAAAATCGCACCACATCTCATGACGTCACATATGACCACACGAGAGTGAATTGTAGAATGAAATAAGGAAAGCCGTTGGTATAAACCAATGGCTTCTGTTACCAATTATAGACATTTAAGAATATTTGTAGAGATGCCATAATTGATTTTGTTTAGGTTGGGTTTTAACTGTTTAAAACCATAACTCGCTTTCACGACGCTTGACACTACATTTTAATGAAAACTCTAACATTTTTAGGCATTTAAAACAACATGCCTGCCCGCACACACAATTCCGTAAAATACTTGTCGAAAACACAACTATACTTCGACATGAAAACAATAGACAAAAACTAAAAATACTTTAAGCATTATACATCAAACAGTTATATATCATTTAATGAAACGTGTATAAATGAAAATATGCAATGCCTAAATACATATATATATATATATATATATATATATATATATATATATATATATATATATATATATTCCGTGTGGCCTTTCAGGAAAATATGTTCCATATATAGACATAATAGGTCAATGAAAGTTAAAACTAATAATAATAATAATAATAATAATAATGATTGTATATCTTTATGCTTTTAGATCAAATACAAGCATGAAAAAAAACTTATGAGAGGGATAATAAAAAAAAGATGAGAATGATAATAAAAAACTGATGAGAGGGATAATAAAAAAAAGATGAGAATGATAATAAAAAAACTGATGAGAGGGATAATAAAAAAAATCTGATGAGAGGGATAATTAAAAAAACAAATATTGCTAAGAGCTAAAGAGGATACGTTCTTTTGGGGAGTCAAGATTGCCCATTTTCTGACGAAATTCAAATATTTATTTATATCTATTTAATTCCACGCGTTAGTGCTAACGTAGTGATATGCAGTTCGATAGATACTTATCGCTGAATCATGTTTAAACATTAATAACAAAAAAAAAAATGAAATGGTGTCGGGACACCAAACATCTTTTTAAACTAAGTTGAGGGCGCTGAATCTGGAAACGGCCTTACTTTTCCTTGGTTAGTTAACGTTTTTGCTGTATAGAAAATGCTTTATTCTTGCAATAAAAGCGTTTTCATTTTTTTTCTGTATATATGACAAATATTGGTCTGCTTATTGAGAAATACTATTTTTGCAATGAAAGGCAGACTTTAAGTCTTTGAAAATAACACGATTGACGAAGGGAATTTGTGATGTAGATCCCAGAAATGAAGGACGTCCCTAGCCCACAGGGGTCGGTCTTACAGGAAAAAAAAATTCCACGCGTTAGTGCTAACGTAGCGATATGCAGTTCGATAGATACTTATCGATGAATCATGTTTAAACATTAATAATAAAAAAAAAATGAAATGGTGTCGAGACACCAAACATCTTTTTAAACTAACTTGAGGGCGCTGAATCTGGAAATGGCCTGAAAACCAACAAGTATTTTCACCAAATCATTTTAACCTTCGTGAACATAAGAACTATGGTAAAAATTTTCTCTTTCTTGAGTGTCATGTTCAATGTTATTTAATTCCCTTTTGATATTCCTGCAGTATTATGAACAATGGAATAGGTGCATTCAATTCGAATGTCTTTAGTTGGAGTTTCTTTCCAACTGTGAAAGCAAAATGCTCTCAATGTGTTTGGTTTCCTCCCATAGTGAAGGGATAGAAGTGATTGGACAAATTTATGAATATTTAATACTTATTTAAATATGTAATGGTTTAATACAGTGTATTACTGATATAGTTTATCAGTTAATTTGAATTTGGGCGATAAATTGGAAAAAATTCAATATTTCTATTTCAACATTTTTGACTCAAAAACACTTTTTTCTAATAAAAATAGTTTATTTTAGGGGGCTCATATAAATGGTTCGGCCTACCTGAAAATTGATGGGTTTTACGACTTTTATTTTGCGATCAGCCAAGATCGTTAATTGATCTTTTTTTCCAAAAATGAGGAATTTCTGTACAGCAAAAATGGTAGCTAACCATGAAAAACTAAAGGTCATTTTCGGAATCAGCACCATCAAATTAGCTAAAAAACCTGTTTTGTTTCTGGCACCAAAAATAGTGTTGACCATTTTAATTAATCCATATTTATAATTAATCAAAATTTGACCTGCTCATTGCTAGAAAGCAGGAAATATCGGGTGTTCCAATAACGTCCATTTTCGGAATAGGCTTCGATAACTTTAACACGTTGTTTGATTGTTAATCTTTCCATGGTTGAAACTGCCGAAGACTTAAGTTGTTAAATTTGAAAGAAAATGAAAAAAAAATAATTAGACGCTTAAATTTAATTTACATTTAAAATCGGTCGAAATTATTGGAACACCCTATATTTTTAATATATTTCATCAGCTAAGACCTATCCCAGTGATTAACATGAGTAAAACAAACGTAGATAATATCTATGCAATTCAATAGTATTTACTCCTCACTTATATTACCCAAAGCAAGCGTTTTGAGTATGGCCTGTGTTTGTATGTGTACTTAAGTGGAACAGTATATCCGCAGAGTGACATATTTTTGTCGTATATTGATCTGAAATTTTAATTTGCTGCCGTTCAATCAATGTCATTAGAATTAACCACTAAAGTGGGAAAGAAATATATTATACTGAAACTCTTATGGATATGCACAACCAATTTCTAATCGAAACATTTGTAATGAGACTACTTGGAAGAAATGTTTATTCCTCCGTTTACGTTTCTCCCGTTAGGATGTAGCGGAATAGCTGAATGGAAAAAGAATAACAAACATGCTCAATTTTCAGAGACGTTTATAATGCTAGTTCGTACAAATACTTAAATATATTCATATATACACGTGCCCCGCGTAGAGAGATTATAACATGCATGCAACAACAAACGGTGTGTATGAAAGAGTAACCTTGTTATATTTTCCAAAGGAAAACTGGAGTTACGGTGGTTTCTCTAAAAACTTACTTAGGATATTTTTTTTTTTCCTGTAAGACCTACCGCTGTGGGCTAGGGACGTCCTTAATTTCTGGGATCTACATCACAAATTCCCTTCGTCAATCTCTCTCCTGACGTCATTTACTAGCCGTCTTTGACCCTCGTGACTATCTCCACGAAAGGGAGAGAATCGATGTTTGTAACTCAACACATTTATTATCACTCTTTTTCCTTATTTTATCTCTTACATTTTATTTTCTCTAATTGTCTGACTTTATTTCCGTATTGTTTTTTTCTTCTTTTTCACATAGCTGTTCACACGCAAACACATTCACTGCTACGAAAACTATTGAAACATTTCTACACCAATTCATTTACATGCTGGTCTTTCTCGCTTCATCCAGCGTCAAAATCCAGATGCCCCCGGAAATATAATAACACAAATAATAACCTAAAGCCTTTTGAGCTCAATAATCGCGAATTTTAATCTTTAATCTTAATTATTTAAATCCAAATAACAAAACCAAACTATTTTATATTTGATTTCATTAGTTAATTATTTAATTGCTTATGCATCTTAAATTTTGTTTATTATTCATTCTCTTTGTAATCCGTGTTTTCTTTTCAATTCTCCATCTTTCTTTCCATCTTACTGTTTCCAAAGCATTATTATTTTAGTTTTTCTCATGTCTTCATCAACGTAATTTTTTTTTCTTCGTCTCCATCTTCTCCTAGTCATTCCTCTTCTCTTTCTCCTCCCACTCCTAATTCTTATTCTCCTGCTTCCGCTTTCATCTCGCTCTTTTTCTTCATTTTATTTTTCTTCTTCCTTATTCTGCGGTTTCTCCTCCTCCCCCTCCTCCTCCTATTCCTCCTCCTTCTTTATTCTTATCTTTCTTTTTCGTCTTCTTTTCCTTCTTCTTCTTCTCCCTTATTCTGCTCTTTCTTTTTCTTTTTCTTATTCTTTTTTTCCTTATTCTGCGGTTTCTCCTCCTCCCCTCCTCCTCCTCATCCTCCTCCTTCTTTATTCTTATCTTTTTCTTTTTCGTCTTCTTTTCCTTCTTCTTCTTCTCCCTTATTCTGCTCTTTTCTTTTCTTTTTCTTATTCTTCTTCCTTATTCTTTTCTCCTCCTCCCCCCCTCCTCCTCCTCATCCTCCTCCTTCTTTATTCTTATCTTTCTTTTTTCGTCTTCTTTTCCTTCTTCTTCTTCTCCTTATTCTGCTCTTTCTTTTTTTTCTTTTTTCTTATTTTTTCCTTATTCTGCGGTTTCTCCTCCTCCTCCTCCTCCTATTCCTCCTCCTTCTTTATTCTTATCTTTCTTTTTCGTCTTCTTTTCCTTCTTCTTCTTCTCCCTTATTCTGCTCTTTCTTTTTCTTTTTCTTATTCTTCTTCCTTATTCTGCGGTTTCTCCTCCTCCCCCTCCTCCTCCTCATCCTCCTCCTTCTTTATTCTTATCTTTCTTTTTCGTCTTCTTTTCCTTCTTCTTCTTCTCCCTTATTCTGCTCTTTCTTTTTCTTTTTCTTATTCTTTTTCCTTATTCTGCGGTTTCTCCTCCTCCCCCTCCTCCTCCTCATCCTCCTCCTTCTTTATTCTTATCTTTCTTTTTCGTCTTCTTTTTCTTCTTCTTCTCCTCCCTTATTCTGCTCTTTTTCTTTTTCTTTTTCTTATTCTTCTTCCTTATTCTGCGGTTTCTCCTCCTCCCCTCCTCCTCCTTATCCTCCTTCTTTATTCTTATCTTTTTTTTTTCGTCTTCTTTTCCTTCTTCTTCTTCTCCCTTATTCTGCTCTTTCTTTTTCTTTTTTCTTATTCTTCTTCCTTATTCTGCGGTTTCTCCTCCTTCCTCCTCCTCCTCATCCTCCTTCTTTATTCTTTTTTTTTTTTCGTCTTCTTTTCCTTCTTCTTCTTCTCCCTTATTCTGCTCTTTCTTTTTCTTTTTCTTATTCTTCTTCCTTATTCTGCGGTTTCTCCTCCTCCCCCTCCTCCTCCTCTTCCTCCTCCTTCTTTATTCTTATCTTTCTTTTTCGTCTTCTTTTCTTCTTCTTCTTTCTCCTTATTCTGCTCTTTTCTTTTCTTTTTTTATTCTTTTTCCCTAATTCTGCGGTTTCTCCTCCTCCCCTCCTCCTCCTATTTTCCTCCTTCTTTATTCTTATCTTTCTTTTCGTCTTCTTTTCCTTCTTCTTCTTCTCCTTATTCTGCTCTTTCTTTTCTTTTTTTCTTATTCTTTTTCCTTATTCTGCGGTTTCTCCTCCTCCCCCTCCTCCTCCTCATCCTCCTCCTTCTTTATTCTTATCTTTCTTTTTCGTCTTCTTTTCCTTCTTCTTCTTCTCCCTTATTCTGCTCTTTCTTTTTCTTTTTCTTATTCTTTTTCCTTATTCTACTCTTTCTGTTTTTTATTCTTCTTTCTTATTCTGCAATTTGCTTTTCTTCTTTTTTTCTTTTTTCTTCTTCTTCTTCTCCCTTATTCTGTGCTTTCTTTTTCTACTTACTCTTCTTCTTCTATATTCTGCTTTTTCTTTTTCTCTTTCTTCCTCTTCATTATTCTACTCTTTCTTCTTCCTTATCCTTCTCTTTCTTCTTTTTCATTATTCGGCGCATTTTTTCTTATTTTCTTCTTCTTCTTCTTCATTCTGTAATTTCTTTTTCTTTTTCTTCCTTATTCTGCTCTTTCTTCTTTTTCTCTTCTGTATTCTGTTCTTTCTTTTCTTCTTCTTCTTCTTCTTCTTCTTTTTTATTCTGCTCTTTCTTTTTTTCTTCTTCTTCTTCTTCCTTATTTTACTCTTTCTTCTTCTTCCTTATTTTGCTTTTTCTTTTTCTTCTCCTTCTTCATTATTCTGCTCTTTCTTTTTCTTCTCCTTCTTTATTCTGCTCTTTCTTTTTCTTTTCCTTCTTCTTTATTCTGCTCTTTCTTTTTCGTCTTCTTCTTCTTCCTTATTCTGCACTTTCTTCATCTTCTTTTTCTTATTCTTCTTCTGCTGCTGCTGCTGCTCTTCTTTTTTCTTCCTTATTCTGCTCATTATTTTCTTCATCTTCTTCATCTTCTTCTTCTTCTTCTTCTTCTTTGTTCTGATCTTTCTTCGTGCTGCTCCTCCTTGTTCTTCTTCTTCTTCTACTTCTTCCTTCCTTCCTCCTACTCGTCCTTCTCCACTTCCCCTTCTCACGTCTTCCTCCTCCTTCTTGCAATACTTTTATCTCAGTGATAATATTGCTGCAGGACACAAATCAACTATAAAAGCTTTCAGTTCACATTCATCCCCCCCCACAAGAAAAAAACAATAAAAACTATTTAAAAAATACAATTTTGCTCGCCAAGCGTACATTACTCTTCGAAGAATGGCAAATGTTAAAATGCTTCAGGAACAAAACTATAATAATAGTCCCTCAAGGCAGCAAACGGAAACTGAAATTAAAGGAACAACACGATATTGCTGTATTTAGAAATTCTCATTGCTACTCAGCAGTCAATCTGAAGAGTTACGACCCGATAACTAAGTTCATTATGCTCCTTCGTCATAAATTGTTGTCCTTATTGACTGCTTGCGTAGCAAAAGCATTGAACTATGTCCTAAAATCGAACTTGCCAACTATTTACTCTTATTAAGTTTAAAAAAATCGCGCTCGATACGTTGCCTTTGATTCTTATTTTGCAGCAAAAATAGTTTTATATGTGCGTAATGTTTTCGTTTTTGCATACCCCTGTTGCATAGAGGTTTCAAACACTGATCATGAAAACCAAGGACTGTCACTTCAGAGCCACACTGGGAGCAAAAATGAGATATGTTGGCTCGATGGATTAGCCAAGTGTTTAAGCTGCGTTTTTAATGGAAGTCAATGCAATCATTTCGAAATTAATCCATTCAATATGCTACAGATATCGAAATTTTGAAATTATTCGGGAAATCAGAAAAAGAAAACTAGACACACTATTGAATGCATTTACTTATACCAATTCTAATCAAGCAGAAAGAGAAAATGGTTGAAATATTATATGGTGAGAAGAGAATAGTATATCAGTGTTGATAATGGCGACAAATAGTTTGGTATTTTTCATGCAGATGGCATTAAAGTCACTGAAATGAAGGATTAATACGATCACACCAGGTAACGCGAATTACGATTTTTTAAAAAATAACATCTTGGCCGCATAAAAAGTATAATTGATATTAATTCCTGACTTTTGCCTATTTTATGGCACAGTGCTTAACTCACTGGACAGACTGAAAAGTAACTGAAGGTACTGTACAGAAATGACTTAGAAATATATATATATATTTATATTTCTCAGATTTGGAACTATTTACACTGTTTACATCGTTCGGACAGTTGTCCTCATCTTTATTGCGATATTCACGATATTTCTGCACCGGCTTTCTTTAAAATTCCAACGTATAATCACCTTAGAATATCGGGGTGGGGAGGAGGGTTTTTTTTTTACAACGGCCGAAACGTCATGAATATGGAAATAAAACGATGTAAATAGCGTAAATACTATACATTTCCCATAAAAGAGATGCCGAGAGAGCAGAAGTTGGACGGGGTCTGATCAGTCTGGAAGATTTTGATTGGAAAGGGTTGCTTGTTTAATTGTTTTAGAAAACAGGCAAAGATAGTAAATGTGGTTAAGCAGAAAGTACATGTTGATTTTGGAAAAGCAAAGCATGAAAGAACTTGAAGGTAAAACATCATCATCATCCTCATCATCATTATTATTATTATTATTGTTGTTGTTGTTGTTGTGGTTTTTGTTGTTGCTGTTTGTTGAAACTTGACTAATGCATGGAATAATAATGCAACACAAAATGTACTTAGAACAAAATGTATTGAAACAAGAAAGTGTACACAATATTTACATATAGTCTTTTGTATATTCCTGGTAAGACCGTTCCTGGAGAATGTGTTGACTGAGTCGCAGTCGGACAGAGTATCTGGTTGAATCTCTTGATTCCTGTATTTATCTATCCACCCACGAGGATAAAATGTAGCACAAGGCCGGTTTAAAGTGGGTATCCTCGAGCCCGTAGGCTCGGCCAAAAATATGTCCTTTCTGAACACGCCTAGACGGGTTCAAGGCCTGTCTACCACCCCGGACGAAACCCTGCCTCTCGGCAAAGCCTCGTCCGGGTCCCTCACTGCAAAATGCAGAGATTTCAACTTAGAATGAATCTCTTGATTCCTCCCTCTCTTCCCGGTACCAATCATATTTATATGGTCGGTACTCCACTATGCAAATTAGGTGGATCCTACCACAACACTGTTCTTATCGTTATAATTATTATTAAAATTATTATTCTCTTATGTAGGTCATCTCCTAAAATTAGGTTCTATTTATAGAATTTATATCATAATTACTTTCTTATAATAATTATTATTAAAGCATCGTCACTATGCCTGACGGAGAAGAGTGCAGATAAGAATATTACCATGTCCATTCCTCTTATTTTAATAAAAAGAAAACCGGAATCAAGGCTGTAAATAGCAGTTAATGCAAGAACTGTTGTCTCCCTTGAACAGATATTTGTTTTTATTTATACGTAATTAATTAAATCTGGTGGACCGTTTGGACTATAAATTACTTCATTCTCTATGAACTTTGAATGGTGTTTTCCTTAGCATGAGCGCGATTTCTTCGTTTGCGTGGAACAAGCATGTAGAAATCGGATACTTATAGTAGAAATTATTATTTTCTGCTTTAAAATTTCGTCTGTTTACCTTCATAAATCTAGGTTGTGAAGAACACTCCATGCCATCTTAAGGAATTTATTTCAATCTCACAGCATTTTATATTTCATATTAATTAACTGGGATCAACTATAGATCGAAATCCAGCTGAATAATAGGAAAATGAATAAATAGGAAACGTTCATAAATCTAATATGCTTCACTTTTGTTAACGCTTTATCAGAGGGAGAGATGGAAAATATTCAAATATTTTTTATTTTTGTCTATATCATTTACATTATTCGAACTGTAATCCTCATCATTGCCATGTTCATAACGTTTACGCTGTTGTACGCCGCGGCCTTCTTCAGATGATTGGAATTTCGAACCGAACCCTTTATTTCGTTAACCTGGGTAGATTGTTCTAGTTCCATGTGCCATGCCTCTTCCGGATGTCTCAGTTATTTCCCTTGAGATCAATTTTTTTTTCGATTCACCACTGCTGTAGCCTGGTATTGAACTCACATCTATTTTGGGTCTAGTGACTGGATCTAACCAACATCTTTATCAACTGAGCCATGTGTCCTTTATTTTGTCCGGTGAGCGAAATAAAGTGTTCGGTACGAAATTCAAATCATTTGAAGAAGGCCGGAGCATACAACGGCCGAAACGTTGCGAATATAGAAATTAAGTTGAGGATAACAGTCCGAACAATGTAAACAATGTAAATGATCATAATACCTCATCTCAGAGATATAGACAGATATAGAGAGAAACATAGACATAAAGGCCGATGCATACAGCGGCCGAAATGCTGTAAATATGGCAATGAAGATGAGGATAACAGTCTGAATAATGTAAATAATACAAGTAATCATAATACCTCATCTCAGAGATATAGACAGATATAGATAGAGATATAGACATATAGGCCAGTGCATACAACGGCCGAAACGTTGTAAATATGACAATGAAGATGGGGATAACAGTCCGAATAATGTAAATGATCATAATACCTCATCTCAGAGATATAGACAGATATAGAGAGAGACACAGACATAAAAACCGGTGCATACAACGGCCGAACCGTTGTGGATATGGCAGTGAAGACGAGGATAACAGCCCGAATAATGTAAATAATGCAAGTAATCATAATACCCCATGTCAGAGGTATAGACAGATATAGAGAGAGACATAGACATAAAGGCCGGTGCATACAACGGCCGAACTGTTGTGAATATGGCAACAAATAATGTAAATCAACATAATACCTCATCTCAGCGATATAAACAGATGTTATTTTTGTGCTGTTTGATTTTCATTGGTTAATAATTTCGATTATGATATATTGTGTAGTCAAACGTGAATATTTATTGAATACAAATAATCTTATATTAAACCCAATATCAGTTATAGAGCGTTTATCGAAATAAAAAGGGGAGAAGTAGAACGTATCATTGAACCTAGCACTAAAAGATTACAGGGTCGAAAGGTGAAAGTTTATTTATCACAAACGGCTATGTTCTTTGTGCTTAATTCGACCATAGATTAATCAGCTTTAATTAGTTATTCATCAATCTCAGTTTATCTTCAACGTTTTTAATGCAAAAAATATTTCCTCTTTTCGATATGGCCGTAAGTACAACATACTCACAACACAGGGAGTAAGTGACAGAGGAAAACAACGCAAGACCAACATGGCGGATTTATGTAAATGGATGGAAGAACAGCGTCTAGGAGATATAACAAAAAAGAAAATTTATTTATAGGAAATTGACGAGAATCATGATCGTCAACATCTTCAAGGGACACATCAAATAAAAGAAGAAAAGTAATATCTAAATTAAAATATTATCATAGTGTATATTGTGATTAATATTTCTTATAGGCGTGTCAGGGAAATTGAGAAAAATACAAAGATACAAAGAACAAGAGAAAGAACAAGGCTTAAAAAACAGAAAGTAACTATGGAAATTGCATTTAAAATATTTAAAATTTTAATAAATATATTAAAGACTTAACGTATTTATTTTTATCCTATATTTGTTACAAGGTATCGTCTATTTCAAATAAAATAATAACTTTTGAATATATATATATATATATATATATATATATATATATATATATATATATATATATATATAATAAAAAGGCTTTAACACTAATATTCCATGTTCATAATTTATTCCATTGGAATCGTAAATATGATCCAAATCATCAGACCTAAGGTCTGATGATTTGATCGTATTTGGATATATATATATATCTGTATGTATATATGCGCGCAAATACCGTTAGGTTAATAATCCAGATTTCTTTAGTATTTAGTGTCGTATATATATATATATATATATATATATATATATGTGTGTGTGTGTGTATTTAGTGACCTATACACACACACACACA